GGGAACTTAAAAGACATGTATACAGTACTTTTTGCGAGATGGAATGGGTTTGTTTATAAAACACTAAAGTTAGGTGTAGTCATATTACTGGTATTTGTCTCGGTGGCTTGTGGTCGGGCTGAGAATGAGAAGCTAACTGCACGCTATTTTACACCGTCAACATTTTTAACAGAAGAATTAGAAACAAAAAAAATTAGTGATATCTCTTGTACAGTTGGTGTTGCTTTTTCAGGTGGAGGTCCTCTATCTTTATCGTTAACAACGGGGCAGCTACGTGCTCTTAGAAAACTTGAGCTACTGGATAAAACGACTTATATATCTGCGATATCTGGAGGTGCCTGGACTTCTATCGCTTTTACTTATTTGCCAACAACAATAGCAGACGAAGATTTTCTTGGTCCAGCAATTGATGATCCGAATTCGCTTGCTTGGCAGCAACAAGGGGCAACATCTAATCCTGCGGATCTCGATTTTTTGACATCTCATGAAATGCTTCAATTTGCACAGCGTTTTAGTTATGGAAATGGTGCGGCAGATTTTGTGAAATTAGGCTTAAGGTTTGATTATCCGCCCAACCGTTTATGGGTTGCTACTATAGGAACGGAGCTTTTAGAACCTTTTGGACTTTATAGTATCCATACACGTTTTGTCAATCGTGATTTTGGGTTACCAACACGTTTTTTAGGATTTACATCAGATTATGTACTAAACAATGTTCTGCCACGTAATACCCATTTGAGTTTGGATGACTTTCATTTGGTGCAAAAAGACCGTCCCTTTCTTATTGTCGGGGGGGACTATGATTCCTGCGAGAGATCGTGCTTTTCATCTTGAGTTTACACCGATTGGTAGTGGTTTCTGGGGAGATTTGTCGGGACAAGGTATTAGTCAGCAAACGATAGGTGGTGGTTTTATCGAGTCCTTTGCTTTTGGTACGCGTAAGGAGACAGTTTTTGCTGATGGAACGGTTCGTGTAGATAGTCGTCGTCGTTTTACGTTAGCGGATATAGACGGCATAACAAGTGCATTTTTCTCTTTTGCCGTTGAGAATAAATATCGCGTTTTTGATGGTCTTGTTCCTAGATATGATTACTTTCCGATTCAAGGTGTTTCTGAGGCTGGTAGTAATACGGAGTCTTACAGATTTGGTGATGGTGGTAATACCGAAAATCTAGGAGTGCATTCGTTACTTGCTCGAGGTGTGCCACGTATTGTGGTCTTTTTGAATAGTCCTGAAATTTATGAAATCGGTAATTCCCAAATTCTTTTAGGTGCATTCGCTGCTTCTATTTTTGGGTATTCGCTCGAAGGTAATGATAACAATTATGTTCTGTATCGCGATGGTGGGCGTGATGTAGAAGGTGTTTATTATCGTAATAATCAGGTTTTTGATTCAGCTCAGTTGTGGCCTTTGTTAGAGGCACTTACAGAAGCACGTCAAGCAGGCGTCCCAGTAATACATCAGCAGCGATTACAGGTAATGCAAAATACTACCTATGGTATTACAGGTGGGTATGATGTTGATGTCCTTTGGGTTGTAAATAGTGCGCCGCAGCGTTGGCGAGATTTATTGACACCAACATTAGATGCAGAATTAAACGCTTCTTCTGATTTTAATAATTTTCCTTATTACCCTGTTTTTGGTACGCCTAATCCAGAGCTAAATACCCCGCAAACGAATTTACTAGCTCATGTTGCTTATTGGAATTTGACGCAAGATACCGTACCTATTCCTAATCTAGGAGACCAGACAAGTTTGGAGGTTGTTCAAGCGTTTTATCAGCAACCAGAAGGTTGCGATGTAACTCAGTAAACTATTTTTTGAGTATCTTTTTATTAGATCTGTTCCAGTTTTGCGAATGTTTGCAAATCAGTTAATTTTCTAGATGTTTCGTCCAAATTTTTTTTGGGCGAAACATTTTGTATAAGTCTTTGTATAATAAACATCTTATCTAAGTTTTCTAGTTTTTTATGATGCCATAGGCGCGTAGCTCAGTGGGAGAGCGCTACCTTGACACGGTAGAGGTCGGCAGTTCAATTCTGCCCGTGCCTAATTTTATTTCTTTAATAATCATTATTTAAATATATCTAGTTTGCTAGGGAGAAATTTTGTGAACGAGACATGGCAGATTATCTGTGAAGATGGCGCGACATACAATGTCAAACCTAATGCTACTCCTATAGATGTTTTTAATCAGCAAGTTGGACAAGAAACATTTTCAGAGAAACCTATCATTGCTCTTGTTGATGGTGATCTCTACGATTTAATGCGGCCACTGCCAGGCCCTTGTACTCTTGCATTTCGTAGTGCTCAGACAGATGAGGGACTATATGCTATTAGGCATTCGGCAGCTCATATAATGGCTGAAGCTATTTGTCGACTTTGGCCAGAGGCAAAACTTGCTTATGGGCCACCATTAGATAACGGTTTTTATTATGATTTTTATTTAGAGACGCCTATTAGTAGTGACGATTTTTCACGCATTCAGAAAGAGATGCAGAAAATTATTTCTCAGAAACGACCATTTGTTCGTTACGATTTATCTATTGAGGATGGTTTGGAAAAATTACGTCAAGAGAATAATAAATATAAACTTGATAACGCAGAGAGAGCTTGTTCAGAGGGTAGTGATGTTTTATCGTTTTATGTGACAGGTGTATTAGGTGAAGATTGGGAAGATTTATGCCGTGGGCCACATGTCCCTGATACAAGTTATGTTGGTGCAGTAAAAGTTATGAGTATTGCGGCATCCCATTGGCATGGGGACATTAATTCTGATTCATTTCAGCGTATCTATGGTGTTGCGTTTGCAACAAAAACTGAGCTTAAGGATTATCTTCTTCAGTTAGAGGCAGCGAAAGCTAGAGACCATCGAGTGCTAGGCCAAAAACTTGGTTTATTTACAATTGATGAACAAGTTGGTTCTGGTTTGATTCTCTGGAAACCTAAGGGGGCAGTACTACGCACTGTCTTGCAGGATTTTTTACAACAAGAATTACTAAAACGTGGTTATGATGTTGTCTATACGCCACATATAGGTAAGATTGATTTGTATAAAACCTCAGGACATTATCCGTATTATGCTGATAGTCAGTTTCCTCCAATTGAAATGCGTGACGGCGATGAAGCTTTTCTGCTTAGGCCTATGAATTGTCCGCATCATATCAAAATTTATGATTCAGAAAAATATAGTTATCGTGACTTGCCTATTCGTTTGGCTGAGTTTGGAACCGTTTATCGTTTTGAACAATCTGGAGAGTTACAAGGGATGACTCGTGTGCGCGGTTTTACGCAAGACGATGCTCATATTTTTTGTACTCCAGAACAAGTAAAAGATGAGTTTAGACAAACAATTGAATTGGTGCAGTTTATTTTTCAGACGGTCGGGTTTGTAGATGTACAAATACGTCTCTCTCTACGTGAAGGCCATCAAGATAAATATGTTGGAGAGACTCATTTATGGGATCAGGCAGAAGCACAGTTACGAGATGTTTTAACAGAAATGGATATTCCATTTGTAGAGGTAGCAGGAGAAGCGGCTTTTTATGGACCTAAGGTTGATTTTGTTGTCAAAGATGTTATTGGTCGTAAATGGCAGCTAGGAACTGTCCAATTGGATTATAATCTGCCTGAGCGTTTTAGTATTACGTATACCGGTGCTGATGATAAACAGCATCGACCGGTTATGATTCATCGTGCTCCCTTTGGTTCTCTTGAGCGTTTCGTTGCTATTCTGATTGAACATTATGCGGGTGCTTTTCCCTATTGGTTAGCACCTGTACAAGTTTGTTTGTTACCAGTTAGTGATAAACATATTGATTATGCACGCACAGTTGTTGCAAAGCTACTCAAAGATGGGGTTCGTGTCGAGCTAGACAGCCGTAGCGAAACTTTAGGAAAAAAGATTAGAGAAGCACAAAAAGCTAAAATTCCGGTGATGTTAGTAGTTGGTGACCAAGAGGTTTCTGATCATACTTTTTCTCCTCGGTTACGAGACGGTTCAACATTAGAAGCAGTTGCTCTTGATGCTTTAATACCGTTTCTAGACGAGCAAGATAGACTCTCTCGAGGGGCGGATGCCTCTTAATTAAGGAATGCATGTGCTCTTAGGTGACAATTATGCCATAATGATTAGGCTCTGCTTGCCATTGTATGATAAATATGGCCTGTATTGACGATAAGAAATTACGATATAACATCGTAAAATTTAATATGATTGAGGATTCGCGGTTTTTTCGCGAAAAGAGTTTCTATTTTGATAATGTTACTAGGTATTAGGCATATCGTAGAAACGGTATGGATTAAGGAGTATTGCCATCGCAGATCAATTACGGGTAAATAGCCAAATTCGGGCACGTAGTGTACGTGTTGTTGATGACGGTGGTGGACAACTTGGTATTTTAGATCTGAGTAAAGCATTAGAAGCTGCTGATAATCGTGGTTTAGATCTTGTTGAAGTTGCGCCAAATGCTACGCCTCCAGTTTGTCGTATTATGGATTTTGGTAAGTATAAATATTTACAGAAAAAGAAATCCCAGGAAGCAAAGAAAAAACAACAGACGATTACGGTAAAAGAGATCAAACTTCGGCCTCAGACAAATCTACATGATTTAAAGACGAAGACGCGCCATATTCGTCGTTTTATTGAGAATGGGGATAAAGTTAAAGTTAATGTTTTTTTTCGAGGACGGGAAATGGCTCATCCCGAGTTAGGTGAAGATATTTTACAACGTGTATCAGATGAAGTTCAAGATATTGCACGAGCCGAGGCAAGGCCTGCTATGGAAGGCCGAAGAATGATTATGACGTTAGCGCCTAGTACTGGTGAAGGAAGCGATAAAAGTAAGTCATAAGTTGTGTCTAGAATAATAACTGTATGTTACAAAAGGATATGTTTGTAGTACGGTTTTAATGATTTGATGGAGTCAATAGTATGCCAAAAATGAAAACCAACCGCGGAGCCGCAAAGCGTTTTAGTAAGACTGGAACTGGTAAAATTCGTTATAACAAGTCTAACCGTCGTCATATTTTGACGAAAAAGAACGAGAAGCGTATGCGCCGTTTACGTCAGAAAGGCGAGTTTACAGGTGGAGACCGTAAGCTTGTTAGACAGTTATTACCAGGCTTTTAAATATATTAATTAATAGTAAATTTTATTTGAGGAACTAAACAATGCGCGCGACTAATAGTCCATATACACGTAGACGACATAAAAAGGTTCTTAAGGCTGCGAAAGGTTATAAACATTCGCGAAGTCGTCGTTTTCGTACAGCTAAGGAAACACTAGAACGAGCACTAGCTTATAGTTACCGTGATCGAAAAGTACGTAAGCGAAATTTTCGACGACTTTGGATTGTTCGTATTAATGCAGCTGTACGCCAGCATGGTCTGAAATATGCTACGTTTATTAGTGGTCTTCAAACAGCAGGTGTTGATGTCAATCGTAAAATGTTAGCAGATCTAGCTGTGACAGACCCTGTAGCCTTTTCAGATCTCGTTGACGTTGCTAAGAACGCTAACGACGTTTAGCGCTTTTTGTCTTTATGGCCGAAGAGCTTACGCTACAGGCCGAACACGCGGCTTCTGAAGCAGAATCGTTAGATGATTTGCGCCAAGTTCGTTCTAGATTTCTTGGTAAGAAAGGTGTTTTATCTCAACGTTTGAAGGAGCTAGGTTCTTTAGAGCCAGAGCAACGTAAGATACAAGGTCAGCTTGTTCATCAGCAAAAAAAAGCTATCGAACAAATTTTTATATCCCGAGAAGATGAGCTTAAATTAAGTCTTTATCAAAAAAGGCTTGACCAGGAGCGTATAGATGTCACACTAAAAGGTCGTTATATTGCTCCTGGTGCATTACATCCTTTGGAAACAACAGTTAGAATTGTTTTGGGTGTGCTGCAGAGAATGGGTTTTGAAGTTGAAGAAGGGCCTGAAGTTGAGGACGCTTTTCATAATTTTGATGCTCTAAACTTTCCTCCAGATCATCCTGCTAAAGAAATGCAGGATACATTTTTTTTAGCAGAACCGTTTAAGGATAAATTTGGTGCACCGTCTCTACTGCGTACGCATACAAGTCCTGTCCAGATTCGTGCTATGGAAGACCGAGATCCTCCTTTAAAAATTGTAGCTCCTGGTAAAGTCTATCGTTGTGATGCTGATGTAACGCATTCGCCAATGTTCCATCAAATTGAAGGTTTTTGGGTTGATAAACATGTCACTTTTCGAGATCTTAAAGGTATTTTGACGGAGCTGATTAAGGGGGTTTTTGGGGAAAGTATTCCTGTTCGGTTTCGACCAAGTTTTTTCCCTTTTACTGAGCCCAGTGCTGAAGTTGATATGGGATGGCAGAATGGTTGGCTTGAAGTTTTAGGCTGTGGAATGATCCACCCGAATGTTTTACGTGCTGTTGATATTGATCCGAATGTTTATCAAGGTTTTGCATTTGGACTTGGCGTCGAACGGTTTGCGATGTTGCGATACGGCATTCCAGATATTCGTCTCTTTTACGAATCTGACGTACGTTTTTTACGACAGCTTCAGGATCCTCTTATAAGATGATTATTAGTTACAAAAAATTACAGGAATTCTTACCAGATTATACGTTGCCTCCACCTGAAAAACTTTTCGAGGATTTAACATTTGCAGGTCTTGAAGGTGAGAATCTAGAATCCATAGCATCGCGTGTAGATGCTGTCATTGCTGCTACTGTTACTGCAATTCAAAGTATAGATGGTAAAGCAATTAAATGTGTTGAACTCGATACAGGTAGTGGAATTGTTCAGGTAGCTTCTACAGATCTTTCTTTGCAAGTAGGAGAGACGGCCGCTTATGCTCCTGTTGGTACTGTTATTGGTCAGACAGAGCTTACCGTGCGTCCGATTGCAGGCATTCAAAGTGCTGGTATGCTTGTTAGCCGTGGAGAATTAGGTGTAGGTGGAGATTTTAGCCAAGTTTGGCGTGTTAATATTCCTGTTGGAACACCTCTTAGTCAATATCTTGATGCCGATTGGTTATTTGATTTAGGAATTACACCAAATCGTGGAGATTGGTTTAGCTATCTAGGGATTGCACGTGAGCTAGCAGTTTTAAACAATACGTTTTATCAGGTACCAGATTTTATAACATTTAATTCAGATATGGGGACACAGCAGATTGAGTTAATTGATTCAGAATGTGCTTATTATCTGGGTGCTTGGTTTGAGCTTGAGACAGCTTCTTTTACCATTACAAAAGATATTGAAGAAGTTATTGGTCGTAGTGGTATGCGTTGTGTACATCCTCTTGTTGATTTGACCAACTATGTTATGTTGGAGCTTGGGCAACCTCTCCACGTTTTTGACGCGGATAAAATTCAAGGAACAATTCAGATACGAGCAGCTCAACAAGGTGAGAGTATTGAAACTTTAGATGGTGTTATTCGTGAATTACAAGGTGGAGAGCTTATTATTGCTGATGCTGCAGGACCGATTGCACTTGCTGGTATTATGGGCGGTTCGCGGGTAGAGGTAGATAGTTCTACACAACGTTTTGTCTTAGAGAGTGCCCATTTTATTCCTACACGTGTTTCTCGTACTCGGCGTCAGCAGTTACTTTCGACAGAAGCTAGTATGCGTTTTGAACGTGGGGTAGACCCTTATGGTGTAGAACGTGCCGCGGGACGTTTTTTACAACTTCTTCAAGAATTTACAAAAGCTATTCCTCAAGCTATTGTGCGTCGTGGGGCATTACCTAAGCCTAAACAAGTTGATTGGGATCTAGAGCGAGCTAAGAAACTATTAGGTGATTTTCCAGCAGATGCTGAAGACTTTTTGCAACGATTAGGCCTGGAAGCTTTTGATGATCAAGAAAAAATACGTACCGTTCCCTCTTGGCGTTTTGATATTCATGAGTCGATTGATATTGTTGAAGAGGTCGCGCGTGTTTGGGGCTATGATCAATTTGAACCGACTTTGCCAAATATGATGGCTTGTGGTGTTCACAAAATAACAGCTTATGACTTAAGAGTAAAAATACTTGATCTTGTTACACAAACAGGTTTTTTACAGGGAATTCATTATAGTTTTCAAGCGCCGTTAGCTGAATCTGTTATTCAGGACCCTGTTGAATTAGCAAATCCACTTGGAGCGCAAACACGTTTTTTACGTACATCTCTTACGGATGGTTTATTGGCTGTTGTTGCAGCAAACCATCGTCACCAAGAATACGATGTTCGTTTAGCAGAAGTCGGTAAAGTTTTTTATCGTAATGGTCAACAGGTAAAAGAGAATTGGCGATTGGGACTTGTTATTTCTGGCCAGCAACAGCCTCAAAGTTGGTATACGGATGTAGATGTAGATTTTTATGACCTTAAAGGTAGCATTAGCTGGTTATTACAAACTTTAGGAGTTAGATGCTTTCGGTGGGAAGAAACAGACAGCTTGGGTGCCAATTATCATCCAGGTAAGTGTGCCATATTACAATTAAAGGGTGTTACAGCTGGGAGTATTGGTGTCTTAGAGCAAGATTATTTAGACAAATTAGATATTAAAAAATCAACAGTTCTTGCCGAATTGGATTTAGATATTATCTGGTCTATATTGACTCAACAAACACAGCCAATGTTTAGAGAGGTCGAAAAATATCCTCGTAGTGAACGTGATTTAGCTTTTGTCCTGAAGCGTAATATTTCTATACAAGCTGTTTTAGATACAATTCGTGATGTTACAGATAGCCGTTTAGAATATGTCTATGTTTTTGATATTTATAGTGGTAGTAGTATTGAGCCAGATTGCCAGAGTGTTGGTTTTCGTCTTGCTTACCGTGAGCAAGCTAGAACCTTGTCTCAAGAAGAAATTGATGCGTGTCAAGAACAAGTTATTGATGCGATTATTACACATCATCAGGGAAGGTTACGTTAATGCCTAAAGATAGATTATTAGCTAAGTCTGTACAGATTATTTTGTTGATTGTTATGTGTGCTACAGTTGTTGCTTGTTCTGGAGGAAGTGTCCACGTTAAGCGTAAAGACTTAATGCCTTTTGTTCAAGACTATAATGAGATGATTCGTTGGAAACGTACGGATTTAGCTGCTATTCATATTCATCCAGAAGCTAGCGGTGACTACCGTAAGTGGTCAAAAAAAGATCTAAAAAATTATGATTTTCAAGATTGGGCATTACAAACAATAACTTATGAAACTGAGTTTGATGCAATTGTAGTTATTGAACGATTAGGCTATGAAATCCCAAGATATATAGAGAAAGAATTACCAGTTGTTCAAAACTGGTCTTTTAAAGAATACTTAGGTTGGCGTATTATGGATGGTTTTTAGAACGATGTATCGTTTACTACTGTAGATGGGATTGATTCAAAACATATCTGTAGCTAGTCTTTTCCTCTCCTTACTACTATTGACGCCAAAGCAGCTAGTCGCAGGAGAGTATTACCAACACTATCGTCAAATAGAACAAAGTATTCAGGCTTGGCAGCCAGAAGCGGCTCTTCCTGCATTACAATTGATGCAGAAATTAGCTCCTAATGATCCTCCGACCTTGCTTGCTTCAGCGAGACTCAAATTTTATCTTGGCCGGTATCAAGATGCAGTTTATGACTTAGATGCATTAAAGCGTCAGGCCGGTAAATTAGAAGCCTATCAAGAAATTGAGACATTAATACGACAGACGGCTTTACAGACTCAGGGGATGGTAACTCAAGCATCCCAGCGGTTTGTGGTTTTTACACAGCCTGGCGTTGATCAGTTGTTAATGCCGTTTGTTCTAGAGACGTTAGAAGCGCAGTTGACTGCGTTGGAGCAAGATTTCAAGTTTACAATACCTAAAGAGGCGTTACCTATACGTGTTGAAATTTATCCACGCCTTTTAGATTTTGTTGCTGTTAGTACATTGACAGAAGAGGAGGTTAAGACATCTGGTACGATTGCATTATGTAAATTTAATCGCCTTATGATTGTTAGTCCCCGGCGTATGGCTCGTGGCTACAAATGGCGAGATACTTTAGGGCATGAACTTGTTCATTATGTATTATCTCGTGTTACTCGTAATCGTTTACCGTTATGGATGCATGAAGGTATCGCAAAATTTTCTGAACGCCGTTGGCGGTCTGCTCAAATTGGTAATCTACATCCTATTCAAGAATCGATTCTTGCTGAAGCACGCCGTAAGGAGACGTATGTACCTTTTCAAATGATGATGCCATCTCTTGCGAAACTGGATAGTAGTTGGAAAACTTCACTTGCATTTGCAGAGGTTACTTTTTTGATCCGAGAGATTATTAAAGATGGTGGTATGGTTAAATTACGTCAAGTCATTACTGCTTTTAGTAAAAATACGAAAGCTGGATTAGCAGTACTTGGTTCAACTAGTTTGGATCATTTATGGCAAAAGTTCCTTGTTCGTTTACATAAAACTCCACTTAAACCAGTACCAGGGTATAAATTTATTCCACCTTCTGTTGCTGAAGACCCTGATGTCGCAGAACCGGAACCTGTTGTTAAAGAAGTAGGTCAAAAATATATGCGTCTAGGAGATTTATTACGTAAAGAGGGGCATTGGGCTGCTGCGATTACTGAATATACAAAAGCTGTCCAAAAGATTGGTCACACTCCAGCTCCCCTTGCGTTGCGTCTTGCTGAGGCTCAGATTGATGGTGGACAATATATACAAGCTAAACAGGTTTTGGAGGCCTTGTTGATACGAGATCCTGATCGTGCGACGGCACATTGGTTACTTGGGCTAATTGCGTTACGCCAAAAACAGCCTGGGAAAGCTCTTGCTCGTTACGAGCACGCTTTTTCTGTTGCACCATTTCAACGGGAAGTTTTAGTCGGTCTTGTTTCTGCCGTTGAACAAATTAAAAATTCGAAGAAACAAGTCCTATACCGTAAAGCATTGGAGTTGTTTGATGCCAGCCAAGGATAAATCTTTACCTCTAACTGAAGATGTTGTTACGCAGGCGAAGTCGGATTTAGCTGCTGTTCAAGAACAAGTTGAACGTGTTATTGTTGGCCAAAAAAAATTATTAGATGTTTTGATGATGTCTTTGTTGACTCAAGGGCATAGTTTGCTTATTGGTGTCCCAGGATTAGCTAAAACACGAAGTGTACAAGCGTTAGCAGATACGATGGATCTAGATTTTTCACGGATTCAATTTACACCAGATTTATTACCTGCAGACATTACAGGTTCTGATATTCTGCTTGGGGGCCCCAGTAGTGAACGCTGTTTTCAGTTTGACCCAGGACCAATTTTTGCAAATTTAATTCTTGCTGACGAAATTAATCGTACGCCACCACGTACACAAGCAGCACTTCTTGAAGCCATGCAAGAACGTGCGATTACCGTTGGTAAAAAAACACATCATTTGCCTAACCCTTTTTTGGTTCTTGCAACTCAGAACCCTGTTGAGCAAGAAGGTACATTTTCTTTACCAGAGGCTCAGTTAGACCGGTTCTATTTTTCTCTCGAACTTGAGTACCCAACAGAACTAGAAGAATTGGAGATTGTCCGTCGAACAACACAGGTAACAAATGTTGAACCTCTAGCTGTTATGAATCCAGCACGTTTAGAAGCATTACAAAAATTAACAGCTTGTATTGCTGTTGATGACACTGCTATTGAATTAGCTGTTCGACTTGTACGTACAACACGTCCTGGATTAGTAAGTGATGTTTGTGTCCCTACTGAGGTTCAACAATACGTTAATTGGGGTGCTGGTCCTCGTGCGAGTCAAATTTTGATTTGGGGAGCAAAAGCACGTGCTTTAATGCAGGGCCAGAAACTTGTAGCACTTGAAGATATTGTTACGTTATTACCGCATGTGCTTGGGCATCGACTCGTTCTCAATTTTAATGCGGAGCGTGATGGTGTTACGGTTTATGACATTATCGATGTTATTCGTCAAACGGTGAAGTTACACGTGTGAACAATGTAGCCTTATTTGAGCTACTCGCATTACCTTTAGCGGTACGTGCTAAAATTTTAGCGCGTTCTTTATGGGCTGGCATTTATGCTACGCAAACTAGGGGTAATGGTGGTACTTTTCGTGAGTTACGTGAATATCGTCCTGGTGATTCTTTACGTCAGGTTGATTGGCGTGCGTCGGTACGTTTAGATCGTTGGTTGGTTCGTGAAGTAGATCGTATTTCTCAATTACGAGTTCTACTTGTTTTAGATACCTCGGCCTCGATGCTCTACGCTGAGAACTCAGATTGTAAATTAGTGATTGGGCAAACGCTATTGGCAGCTGTCGCATTGCAAGCATTACGTCAGGGACATTCTGTTGCGGTATGGCCAGGACATAATGAGAGTACACATTTTTTTAAGGGGCGTTCTACAGAGGTCCAAGTATTTACGGCACTAGAGCAAGCGCCTCAATGTTCTTTCTCGTTACCACCTATTGATGTCATACGTAAAGCAGATTTGCTCCTTGTGCTTAGTGATTTGCTAGATGATACGGTAGAGCAGCAGTTAGAAGTGTTGCGGTTTATCAATCCACGGGAATGTGAAGTTAGGTTTTGTCAGTTGTTACATCGTGATGAACTAGAATTTTCTTTTCGTCGGCCATATGTTTTTGAATCTTTAGAAGGTGGCCAAGATTTAAAACGACGGTTAAATCCTCGAGACATCAAAGATTTATACCAACAAAATTTAAATCAACATTTATCCTGGTGCCAGCAGTTTTGCCGCCATCATAATATAGCCTACTTCCTGCACCATACAGGAAAAAATTTATTTGCTGCTATGCAATTTATGACAACGGGGCATTGTTAATGAGTCGCTCTTTATTATTGATTTTGGCTTGTGGTGTTGTTATTCCTATTGTATTGCATTTATGGCGGCGTTCTCGTCCGAAGACTCTAGCTTGGGGAGCCTGGCGGTTATTGCCGACGTCGGAACCAAGCGATGAACGTGTTGTACTCTTTGAGCATCCACTATTACTTTGCTTAAGAGTTATTGCTGTTTTACTATTTGCTGCCGCAGCTGCAGGGCCTACTTGTAAACGTCCAATTCAGTCTCAGGCCCTCTTACAAGATATTGTAGCGCCACAGATTATTTTGGATGTTTCTGCCAGTATGGGTATTGGGTCTCCGGGGGAACGCCCGATTGATCGTGTGGCAGATTTTTTAGATACGTGGTGGCGTGAACAGCATTGGACTGAAGGTGTGGTTTATGTTTGTCACCAAGATCGATTAGAAAAAATTTACGATTCTAGTCAAGAATTGCCGCGGCGCTTTTTGAACATTCTTGAAAGTCATTTAAGACTTGGTTTATCTCAGCTTGTGGCTTGTAGTGATCTACTTGAAGGGGCTGGTCAGGATCTTATTATAGTCTCTGATATGGAAGTAACGTCTACGAACTGGCAGCGTTTTCAATCTGCTCGTTTAATTGGTGTTGGGAGTAACGGCGTTTTGAATAATACGGGTTTTGAGTCTGTAGATATTTCTGTACAGGGTGATATAGCTAAGATCTCTGGAACATTACGAGGCTCAATTACAGGTACACATGTTGATTTAATTTGGCAGCAGCCAGAACGCCCTAAAGCTAAGGCACAGATTAGTGGTCAGGAGTTTTCTTTTAATTTACTTTTACCCAATGAAGATGGTCGGTTATTTTTACATTATCCTTATCCTGATGCAGCCGAATGGGATAATATTATGCCGTTATGGTTGCCTGCAGGAGGAAGACCTAACGTAACAGTCATTGGTAACTTTACACCGAACCAAGAGCAGCTATTGCTAGATTTTTTATATGCGGCACGGGACCGTTTAAATATTCTTTTTTCTGCTAATGCTCAGCAAAAATCAGGAAAGAAAATTTATATTATTTCTGACCCAGATATCCTTAACTCTTCTCTTGGTAACAAAATTTATGCGGATGTTATTGCTGGGGCTCTAGCCATTTTATTTCCAGCTGTATCTGAACAAAACGAACCAAATCAGTTGCGCTGGCTACCAGGTTGGTTACATCCTCTGCAAGCTACTCAAAATAAACAGATTCAGCCAACAGCTACCTTTATTAAACAGTGGCCAGAGTTAGAATCGTTAGCTTGGAGTACGGCTCAAGTTAATCGGCTTTATCCGTTGGCGGACCCCAGTCCTAAGGTTCAGATTTTACTTGAAGGAGAGCGTGATCTACCACTGTTAACACGTATGCGTGTAGGTAATGGTTGGATTTACAATTGGATGATTTCGTTGTTGTCTTCAGATAGCAATTTGCCACATACAGCATTGTGGGTTCCCCTATGGTTAGCAATTATGGAGACATTATCTGAACAATATCTAGGTACAAAAAAAATTGGAGCAGCTACTATTACAGAACATTTCCAAGATATTGAACAGGTGGGGGTGGCCTATCAAGACCCAAGTCTATCAGGGCATTTAGGATGGTTTAAAGCCAGTCAAAATGGACAACAATTTCTTGTCTCAGAGTATGTAGACCCTACAGAGATTGAGGTTGGTCGTTTTACTCAGCAGGTTTTGTTTAAGCAGGCGGAGCAGACATCTGTTTCAGATCGTGAGTTTTTTGTTTCCGTTGACTATTTTTGGTTAATGGCTGCTGTTGCTGTTTGGTTGTTGCAAGCTAGTTTATCCCACGTATTATCTGTCCTATTTTTTGTCTTCGTATTTATGTGGCCGGGAGCTGATGCCCATGCATTACAGATTTGGGTTCCTACAGAGAGTTCGGCTAATGCTGCTCAGTTGAGTGGTATTTCTTTGGCGGTTGAACAATGGCGGATACGTTCAAGTCCAGAAGTCGCACCAATGCCAAAATCTTTTTCATGGAGAGTCACTTCACCCGGAGATCCTTTGGTTTGGTGGGCTGGTTGTCAGCGGTTTCAACCAGAACGTCAGCAACAATTAGCTAAAGCAGCTCAAGATTTTTTACGACGTGGTGGGACGTTATGGCTTGATTTTTGTGGAGGAGCAGCTGAATTTCATCGCTATGCAACTCAGCTTGAAAATTGGTTTAAAACTGAAAAAATAGAAGGTTCCTGGCGGAGTTTACCTTCAGGTCATGTTTTAAAACGTACCTTTTATCTTATAGATACTTGGCAAGATGTTGAGGCTGTTAATACCGTATACCTACTTGAAATAAATGGTATTGAGCGTCTTTTCTTAGTAGCTAATTTGTCGCGTTCGCTTGCTCGGCAGCCGCTAGGAGGTTGGCTTTTGCCATTGTCTAACCATTTGAGGGAGCAGCAAGTACGGCAAGGTCTAAATTTATTGCTATATGCAACAACCTATGATTATAAAAATGATGCGATTCATTTACCTTATATTCTTGAACGCCGAAAGCGTCACCGTTAAAAGATGATTGTTATCAAAATAATGTGTGTTTATGGACTAAGCATTGTTTATTTTTTTAGGCATCTTAAGTCATGTTAGAGACAGCCTGGGAAATCGGTGGTTTTTCTTTTTGGGACCTGTTGTTTTTGACTATCCTTTTGTTTTTGGTATTTATTGGGATGTGGGTTGATCGTCAGAGACAGAAACGTCTTTGGTATGGTAGCGCCTTGATGCGTTTTATCTTTATTGGTTGGCTAACTATTTTTTTGGCTGATGTATCAATGTGGCATCTTAAGGTCGAGCCAAAACCAGGACGTTTTGTTTTACTTGTCGATCAAACAGCAAGTGTTGCCTTACGTCCTAATATAAAGGAACGTTTAGATCATTTTGTACAAGATATTCGTGTTGCTTTAAGACCTTATGGTGTTGTGCAACAAGTTTCCTATATCGGTCGTGGTGTAAACTCACGTTGGCAGCCTGGTTCGGTGACTTCAGTTGTTGGTGGTCCAACTCATATGCTTCGGGATTTAAATCGGTTACCTCCAGCATTTTTTGATGGCAAACACTCATTGATTGTTGTTTCTGATGGTAGCGAGCATAATTTAACGGTTGCTGATACGATTACTGCGCCTGTTGTTGCGGCGGTTATCCCAGCTCAGGATGTTTATCCTAGTCCGTTGTTACTTGAGCATGTGGAAACAGATGCCTATGCACTTATTCGTTCTCCTCTTAGAGTTTATGTTTCTTTACGACGTAAACCGTCTGAGGTTTTGCATCAGGTCACAGCATCTATTCATCATGGTGATACCGAACTTGGGGTTACGAACGTAACATTTGCTCCTGGATCGGTTACTGCCTTAGCAACGCTTGATGTGTTACCTACACAACAAGGTGTTCAGGTAATGACCGTAACAACTAGAGCTTCTGGTGTCCGGTTTCAGGATTCATTTCATCAAACGCATCTTTCTGTACGTGTTCTTAGAGACCGTATCCGTATATTGCATGTTGTGGGACGTCCCAGTTGGGAAACAAGATTATTACGTGACTATTTACGACAAGACCAAAGTGTTGATCTAGTTAGTTTTCAGATTTTACGTACAATTGGTGATCAACCCTATGCTAGTAACGAAGAATTGAGTTTAATTCCGTTTCCAACAAAGAAATTATTTACAACAGAATTGCCTAAATTTGATGTTGTTGTGTTTCAGGATTTTAACTATATGCCTTATTTTGAGCCGAATTTTCGTGAAGTCTTGTTGCAAAACCTATTCCGTTTTGTTTCTCAAGACGGTGGTGGGTTTGTTATGACTGGAGGTGATCTATCTTTTGGCTATGGCAATTATCATGACACACCTTTATATAATCTATTGCCTGTTACCTGGCAAGATTTTGGTCGTTGGCTACAAGGAGATTTACGTTTAAATAATACCTCATGGTCAGCTTGGTTTGGTGTTGATGCACCACAAAGCACCAGTTTAAAACGTGTTTATCAGACAAAAACTCGTGAGTCGGCACGTACAATTTGGGAGACCAATGGTGTACCTGTTGTTGTGGTAAATAAGGTAGATAACGGTCGAACAGCAGCAATTTTGACCGACCAGCTTTGGCGCTTAGCCTATCAAGGTCAGGCTGCGGATCGTAGGGCTACCTCTTTACTTTGGTCTCGTTTGGTGCGTTATCTATCAGGAGATCCAGATTTTGAAGATATGCATGTTCGTTGGCAGCAGGATCAAATTCATCTTGGAGCTAGTCTAAAAGGTCAGTTTTCTAAAACGACAGAAACAGTTGATCTTATTGATACCTCTGGAAAGGTTATTTATTCTCAGCTTGATACCTCTTATCCTTTTTCGCTAACAGCACCGTCTAAGCAAACAATTCTATGGGCACAATCAGGTAACCAGTTGGCACCTGAACCTTTAATTGTGTCATATCCTTTACAAGAGCGGACTCAAGTTGTTGTTGACCGTGCGGCTTGGCAATCTTGGGCTAATAAGCAAGGGGCACGCTTAACTTTTTTTGACCGGTGGCAACACGCAGATTTACTTCGTGACCTCAAAGCGAAGACCCAACGGATTGTTCAGCGTGATTTTGTTGCACTTACAGAATTATGGTGGTTTTGGGTGCTAGGTCTACTCTTGATGTTAGCTGAGATAACATTACGACGTTTAGGAGGTGCTCCTTAGGCGTATTAGATTTAATCGTTTTTTTTGTGCTTTTTTAGGCTGTGTAAATTTTAAGAGGTCATAATTAAAAGTCATTTTTTAGTGAATTACAAGTAGGTTTTTATGCATATCAATTTTTCAGTTTTGATCATTGGATTTATTGTTGTTACTGGGGTCTTGCGCCGGGTTGTGGCTGTAATTAGGCAATGGCGTCCGTTAGTGACACGTTATCGTGCTAAGCGAGCGCCAATGGGAAAAATAGTCCATTTAGGTACGATTAAAGTTGGTGGTGTTCATTTGGGTCCATTGATTACCTGTCGTGTTTCTCCAAGAGGGTTATTTTTAGATTATGTTGCGTTGGTCTCTTTTTTGTTTCCTTCGGTTGTAATTCCGTGGTCAGATATTCGTGTTGTTCGGTATGTGCGAGAGCCATTTTTTAAAGGTTACCTGGTATCAGCAGGGGGAGGGTCTTCAGTTGAATCTGAAGGTTCTCTTGAGCTACATTTATCAGACCGTATTGTACAAGCAGCTAAGTTGTTTGTGGAGATACCACCAGAAGAAGCTGCTTCCTGATGCGAAGTTGTTATTGGTTTTTGGCTGTTATGTATTGGCTAATGCCTACAGGTCTTGTTGCTGTTGAACCAGCTGCTGTTCGAGAACGGATCCAACAAGATTTACCAATTCTGCAAGCTTGTTATGAGTTATCTCTTGCAAAAGTACCCGAGTTGGGTGGAAGGTTTATGCTGAGCTTTGATGTGATATCATCTGGTTTTGTACAAGATGTTACATTACAAGAGCAGGGTAAGTCTTTACGGCATGATGAATTACAACGCTGTATTTTGTCGCTTGTAAGGACCTGGCGATTTCTACCTATGACCGAGACGACAACTGTCGTGTATCCACTTTACTTTAAACCAGTTACTAAGGAATTGGAGAACAATACTATTCCAAGGATTGAGGAACAATTTGTTAAAAAATCTAATACGCCAATAATAAAGTCTGCGTCTATAAAGTTTATTGTTGGCGTGTTTTTGATCTTATGTTGTGCCGTTTTTGTGTTGTTAGGATTTTTGAGGTCTACATGAAAAAAATTTGAATCATGTTATATATGATCAAAGTGTTTTGGAGTTCGTAAATAATTGTTGTCCATTTTAAGTAGTATCAGGTAATAAGAGGGGTAAATAGATGCTTAATCGTTTAGCTATTTGTCTAGTCAGTATTGTCGTATTTTTAGGCTGTCAATATCATCAGCATAAAAAAGGTTTGGTGCAGCCAGGTATTGCAACAACGTCTTTGGCAAAGATTGAACATGTTGTTGTGCTAACGCTTGAGAATCGTTCTTTTGATAATCTTGTTGGCTGGTTATATACACCTGAATTGCCTGCAAAAACATTTGTAATGCCAGTATCTAGTCAGCCACCTTACTATGATGGGCTTGCTTATGGCAATTTTAGTAATCCTAATGTGCCTAGTGCGTTACCAATAAGTGTACCTGTACAACGTGGTGCAGATCATTTTACGATACCAGATCCAGATCCTCATGAAGCGTTTCAATATGTTACGAAGCAATTATATGGAGATCATAAACCTGTATTTGGTGATGTGGCGCCCATGAATGGATTTGTGCGTAATTATGCAACGGTGGAAGGGAGTACTCCTGAGCATATTATGCAAACGTATACGCCTGAGCAGCTTCCGGTGTTAAGTTTTCTTGCCAGACAATTTGCTATTTCCGATGCTTGGTTTTCTTCTGTGCCAACACAAACTCAAGCTAATCGTGCTTTTTTACATAGTGGAACGTCTGACGGGCAGGTTAATAATGGAAATCCTTTTTTCTATGGTTCTAAGACCATTTTTAATGTGCTCTCGGATTATGATGTGTCGTGGCGTGTTTATAGTGATTCTGGTGTATTACCATCACTTGTACGTTTAAATATGACGCGTTTATGGTCGCCAATATTCAATAGACATTTCCAACGCTTCGAACAGTTTAAGAGAGATGCTGCTTCTGGGCGTTTGCCAGCTTATTCATTTATTGAACCGCGGTTTATTCATGATGCTCCATTCGTAGGAGGTACGGTCAATAGTGAACATCCACCAACAAATGTTCAAGCAGGAGAGCAGTTTTTAGCCGATGTTTATACAGCACTGTTTCGTGGAGCTAATTGGGATAAAACGGTTTTGATTATTACCTTTGATGAGCATGGTGGTATTTATGATCATGTTAGCCCACCATGGGGAGCAGTACCTCCAGATGATAAGAGCCAGCCAGGTAAACAAGGTTTTTATTTTGATCGTTTTGGTGTCCGTGTCGCAACTATTGTTGTGTCGCCTTGGGTTGATGAAAGTGTTGTTTTTCGCTCTTTTTCAACTCCTTATGATCATACATCTATTTTGGCAACGATTATGGATTGGCAGGGGATACCTAGAGGTGAACTCCCAAGTAAACGTGTACAGGCTGCTGCTAATATTACTTCAGTTTTTCGTCGTGTTACGCCACGTAAGATGCCAGACATGATTCATCTACCACCTTGGAACGTTATGAAAGAACAATCCGATTTTGCAATGGGAAAACGAAAACTGACGGATTTCGAGAAAGGTGTCATTGGTGCTTATACGCACTATATGAATCATTTAAAGGGTAAAAAATTTAATCAGCGTGAGCTAAAACAGATTTTAGATCACATTAAGACACTTAGCGATGCCAATAAACATATTCATCGATTACGTCAGCAATAACCACCTTAGTTTAATAGATAAACGTTTTTGTTATCAAAAAATAAAACAGGGTCGAATCTCTATGGGTTTGGTTTTTTAAATAGCCGTTTAGGGAGTTGTATAAGGTCTTCATGGATTGAGTATAAAATTGGAATGATAAACAGAATTGATGTTGTTCCAACTAATAAGCCCCACATCATCGCGGTAACCATCGGTGAAATAAAAGCGTCATGACCACCAATGAGCCCATAAGCTGTTGGAAATAGGCCAACAACTGTTGTTAAGGTTGTTAGGGTAATAGCGCGAAACCGTAGTCTAGCACCTGCAATAATTTGTTTATGAGTTTCTATCTCTCCTGGAATTTGTTGAAGTATCTGGTTCATTTGATTCATAAACATTGGATCCTGGTTGGGTGTCTTACCACGGATACGGTTCATTAGGTCAACCATAATTAATGAATCATTGACAATAACGCCTGCCATTCCTAACGTACCAATAAGGCTAAACATAGATAGTGTTAACTGTTGAGCGCTGAAGGCAATAATAATACCAGCCAAGCCAAAAGGAACAGCAAAGACAACTAAGAGTGGTTGGGTAAATGAGTTAAATAGAACAGCTAGCAGAAAAAAGATTGCCAGCATTGTTAAGCCTAGATTTAATAGCATACGATTAAACGTGTCGATACTTTCTTTGGCTTCTCCTGTAAGTTCTAATTTAAGATTAGGGTAGTTTTTAGAGAATGTTTTAAAATGTTTTGTTAAAAGTTCATAGGTTTCTTTGGGGGTTGTTTTTTCTAAGTCAACATTACCACGGATGCGGTTTGTTCGTTGGCCATTTAAGTGGTAGATAGCTTGCGTGGCTTGGGTGTTGGTTTGGTTAACGAGTTCGGATACTGTCAGAAGGTTACCAAATGAATTACGTATTGTTAATTGCTCAAGTGGTTTTTGATAGTTGGTTAACTGGTCATTTATTTTGACTCGGAATGGTATTTTTTCAGCTGGTGTGTGTAGGTAAGCGACAATAGCTCCATCAACTGCTGTGCGTATCGTTTCTGCAAGGTCTGCTACGTGTATACCTGCTATTGCGATTGTTTCGTAGTTTGGTGTAAGACGTAGTTCGGTTTTACCATAACGATGATCTGTGTCGATGTCAGTTATATGGAATTGTGTTAACTCTTGTTGTATCTGTTCAATCGCTTTGAGTCGTTGTGTTGTGTTATCTCCAATAATTTGTAGTTCAATGGGTTTGCCGCTATCAGGACCTCCACTGTCAATATAAACATTTAAGTGTTCAATATCTGTGATAGCTGTTTCATGAAAACGGTTTAATAGGAGTGTTTTGATATCTTTTGCCTTAAGGTCTCGTTGGGTGACAGGAGTCAAGATAATTTTTATAAATAAAGCATTTGCTCCCTGAATCCAGCCGTCAGGGTCTCGTCCTGCTACGCCTTTATAGGAATGGACTAGACCTTCAGGTAGCTCGGTGACAAGTGCTTCAAGTTGTTCCAAAACTGTTGCCGTATGATTTAAAGAGCTTCCAATTTTTGTTTTACCGTGTAACCACATTTCAGTTGCTTGGTCAATAGGGAACATAACAAATTTTATCTGTTTATAGCCATACCAAGTAGATATGGACAGTAGGCTTAAAGCTATAACTAATCCTAGATAACGTCGGTTAATTAATTTATTTAGAAGTGAGCTATAGACCTGTTCTAGATTTGCTAGTAGGTTATGGCCTAGTGGTAAACGTTGCTTTGTTGTTTTGGTATAAGCTAGGTGTGCAGGTAAAATTGTTGTTGCTTCTAGTAAGCTTGAAGCAAGCATCAAGATGACAATTGAAGGGATTTCAATAGCAAATTTACCCTCTATGCCAGGCATAAAGTACATAGGAATAAATGCGATTATGGTTGTTAATATGGTTGCCATCACAGGAGTTATAACCATGTGAAGGCCCGAAATAGCAGCGTCTTTAGGAGAGCTGCCGCGTTCTATTTCTCGATAAATACTTTCGGCTACGATGATCGCGTCGTCAACAACCATGCCTAAAACGACGACAAGGCCACATAGAGAAATACTATTAATGGTAATGCCTGTATAGGGTAGGATAATAACTGTTATACCAATTGAAATTGGTATGCCTAAGGCGGTCCAAAAGGCAATACGCCAGCTTAAAAAAAAGAATAAGATTACTAAAACAAGTAAGAATCCAACAAGGGCATTGCTGTAAACAATTGAAAGCCTTTCTCGGGTTTCTAGTGATGCGTCATAGGTTGAGGTAAACGATAGCCCAGGAGGTGACTCGTTTTGTTGATAGTTGTTGACGATTTTTTTGACCTGTTCAACGGTGCGAATGATATCTGCTTGAGACTTTTTAGTAACCCAAAGTGAAATTCCTGGTTTACCGTTAAAACGAATAATTTGTTCTTGTTTCTCAAGTGTTTCGATCACTTGGCCTAGATCTTTTAGTCGTAACAGTGGGCTGTTTGGTTTTGAACGAATAATAATTTGTTCAAGTTCATGTGGGTTTTTGAATTCACTTAGTGTAAGCAGTGTTTTTTCTTGGGTTGGAGAGGCGATGCTACCGGCACTCTTACGAAGTTTTGTTTGTTTAATTGCAGCAACGACTTCGTCAATAGCAACATAATGTTGTTGCAATTTATGTGGATCAAGCAAAATTTGTACTTCTCGACTTGGGATGCCACTATCGTAAACACGTTTTACATTGTCAAGGTCTTGCAGCTTTCTACGTAGTTTACGTGCGTGGTCAAGTACTTGTTTTAGGTCATTGTTTTGGTCAAATAATGCAATTTCATAGATCCACCAGTTATCAGCGTTGCTTTCCCAGATAGATGGCCGTGTGGTGACTGCTGTTGGTAAGTCGTTAACGCCTTCAATGGCCCGGCGAATTGCTGTTTTTACTTTTTCTTTGTCAGCAGTATTTGGATCTAACTGTACACTAATTGTTGAAATATTTTCGACAGATTTTGAGGTGAAACGTTTGATACCATCGACTGATTTTAGCGCGTCTTCTAATTTAATAGTGACGTTTAGCTCAACATCTTCGGCAGAAGCCCCAGGGTATGTTGTTGATATTTCTAAACGTTCAAAATCGACACGAGGGTAAGCTAATCTTGGTATACGCTGAATAGAGATAATCGCTGCAATAAGTAAAAAAACCAAAATTAGGTTTGTCAGTAGGGGGCGTTTAATTAGAATATGGACAATATTAAACATGGGAGACGCTTATTGCGTTATTTAAGGGGACTACAAAAAATTGTAGTCTGATAGGTTTTAGGTATGTTTATCGTTTCATGACTATCTCTATAGTATATAAGATGTGTTGTATGCTAGATAAAACATTATTTTGAATTGTTATCTGTTACCCTTGTTCTTTTTGTGTTGTTTTTTTGATCTTGTTTCCTAGCCACGTTGGGCATACTAAGTGTAGTAAGGCAATAACGTACATTAATTTGGGTAGGTAAAGTGTCTTTTTCTGTTGGCAAATGCCTTGAACAATTTTTTGTGCGCAGGATTCTACGGATAATGAAAGGTAGGTGTTCGGTTTTTTTGTTTTGCTTGATGTTGAGTCAGATTTTTGGGACCCAAATGCGTGTTCTCTTAGGTTTGTACCTCTTACCCAACCGAGTACTACTTTCATGAGGTCTAAGTCTTCTTCTAATTGTAAGGAGTCAAGAAAACCATGTACAGCATGTTTTGCTGCTGCATAGCCTGCGTGGTTTGGAACGCCAATATACCCTTGAAGTGAAGAGATAACGACAATTTTAGTTTTTTGTGCTTTTAGCGTTGGTAATGCGTGATAGATAGGGTAGACAACGCCAAAATAATTAACGTCAAGAAGCTGTTGTAGGATATGTAGGTCTTTTGTTTCTGAAATTTTTTGCCACATGCTAACGCCAGCATTCAAAATCAGAAGGTCTAATTGATCAAATTTCTCTAATGTCGTTTCCATTAACTTTTGGCAGTCTGCCTCTTTAGTCACATCTGTTGGGATTACCAGTGCTTGTGAACCTGCTAATGTAACATCTTTAGCTATTTTTTTTAAAGCCGTTTCATTGCGAGAGGCTAAAACTAAATTCATTTGATGAGGTGCTAGTGTCTGTGCAAGTTGTGCTCCAATTCCAGATGAAGCACCGGTAATCAGTGCTGTTTTATGTTTTAGGGGAAAGGTCGTATTCATTACTATTTTGCAAAGACATTGTTAGCAATGCCAAAGATATTGTTTGGATCGACAGTTTTTTTTACATCTTGTAAGAGTTGTATATTTGTTTCTGAAAAAATATCTGGAAGGAAATCTTTTCTTAGCTTACCAATACCGTGGTGGTGAGAGACGGAACCTCCCTGTTCAAGGATCTTATGTCGTATAGCGTGTTCTAAATTTGTAAAAATTTCTCCAGCGTTGGGTAAGTCTTTCATATAACAGCCAAGCATAAAATAGATACAGACACTACTATGATAAAGTTGTGTAATGCGGTAAGAGAGATAAGGTTTTCCTGGAAGGTTATATTTTTTATGTTGACTTTTCAGTTCTTCTTCTACTGCTTGGCAAACACTATCTATTTTTGTCCAAGGAACTGTTGTTTCTAGCGTTTCTCCGATACAGCTATAATCCAGTAGGAAATCGCGAATGTAGGCAATGAGATGTGTGAGCATATAGCCTCTTTTACCATTAGATGGCCCAGCTAGTAATGCTTGATGTTTTTTTGCGAGGCGAGCTAATTGTTGCTTTTGGTATAAAACTTCGGTTTGGTCCCCTTCCATAACAATGGTTGCAAGACACATCTTTTCTGGAGAGAAACCTTTAATATTTAGGATGAAGGATTTTTGTAAGGTGCTAATGAATTTTTTACCTAAAGAGGTCTCTTCGGGTTTTAAAGCCATTCCAAATCTGAATTGGTTGTTATCTACTAAACGGATACTAGCGGGCATAAAATTAGTGCCGTAGAGATCACGTAAAAAAGTTACTCCTTGTTGAAAGTTTTTGAAAATTATTGAATTATAGGCTTTGGCTTGTGGTAGACGATGTATGCGTAATGTTGCTGTGGTGATAAGTCCTAAATTGCCTTCATTACCAAATAATAATTTTTCTGGCTGCATACCAATGGCGCAGCGGTCAAAACCGCGTGCTTGTTCCAGGGTTCCATTTGGCGTAATTAGAGAAAAGCTTTGGACAATATCTTCGATATTGCCATAGCGGTTGCGTTTCATCCCGCTTGCATTTGTTGCAATCCAGCCACCTACGGTTGAAAATTCTATACTGTCAGGTTCATGGCCTACGGTATAACCTTGTTCATTAAGTTGTGATTCTAAATCTGCGCCAACCATACCCGATTGTACACGGACCAGGAGGTTTTTTGTGTCAATGTCTTCAATTTGATTCATTGTCTGAGTACTTAAAATAACAATCATACGTGTTTCTGCTTTCGGTAATGCTAATGCACTACTGACGCTAGTCCCACCACCATAAGGAACAAGGCAGACGTTATGCTCTTGTGCCAGATTGATCATAGAAAGAGCTGCTTGTTCTGAAGGGCAGAAGAAAACCATGTCTGCAACACGGTCTAAGCATCCCTTATAAAGAACAGAAAATACTTCTTCACTTGTTGTCTGACCATGGCTATGAATGAGCCGTTGAGTGTCGTCAAAGGTATATGAATCTGATGAGAATTTTTCTTTTACAGCTGTTACAAATGTTTCATTTAGGATCGTGTCTTGTATTTGTTTTTTAGCTTCTGTTTTGGGGGGTGTTGCTAAAAGGTCGACGCCGAGTAGATCTTTGATATAGGGTAAAAAATGAGGTAGTGGTTCATCAGCAAAAAATTGATATTCTGCGCGGTTACTACGAAAGATAACGTTTTGTTCAGAGTCTAGTGTAAAACCACTGCCTTTAAAGCCCCAATGGTGCGCGTTTTTGTTGTTTTTTTCAGTCATATTGATCCTTTAAGTTTTGAATACGTTGGCGAACAATATCAGTTAATGTTTGTAAATGTAAGAGTAAAGCGTCAGCGGCGTCTTCTTGCCAATTTTCTGGTAGGTGTTTTTTAGGGTCAATTGCTTCTCCAAAATAAAGGTCAATACGTTTTGGATGTATTAACCGTTGTCCTTTTGGCCACACTTTTGAAGCACCTTTAATATAGATTGGTACAATTGGAACGTCTAACTGACTAGCTAAAATAGCGATACCTGGCCGGAATGGCAATAGTTCATTTCCTTTAGAACGTGTACCTTCTGGAAAAATTAAAATTCCTTTTTGATCCTCTTGTAAAAAAGGGCGGCAGGATTCAATAGTTGCTTTAAAAGAAAAGTTACCTTCTTTGCGTTTACCTTTTTTCCTATCGACGGGTATGGGCAGTAGAAATAATTTTAGAAAAAAATAGCGAATAGGATGGGCAAACCAATAATCGACAGCTGCAAGAATACCTAGACGATGGAATCCTAAACCACTAGCGATGGCAATTAGGGGTGTGTCTAAATGGCTTGTATGATTACTACAAAAGATTGCACTTGTTTGTGGAATTGCTTCTTTATTGAAGATACGTAGAGGAGTATAAAACTTAAAAATAAATCTACAGTAAAGTGCAAATAGTTTTTTTAAAAGATAGCTCATTATGTGATAGTTAACGCAGCAAAAAAATTAGTATTTGGTAAATTTTAGTTGTTATATAAAAAATAAATAGTTTTTCAAGGAAGTTAAGAAACTTGTTTGGTTTAAAAACTGCCTTCTATTCTACACAGAATTAATTATGTTGTTGAATCTAGGATGGTTTGAAAGAAGCATCGTTGCCAAATTCTTTGACGACTGTTTTGATCATTGCTTGTAGATTTAAGGTAAAAGAATCTTTTGGCTGTCCAATGTCTGCTGTATAGAGTTGGTTCATTAGATGTTTTAAAGCTTGATCGATACTACCATGTGTTATGTGTAGTGTCTCTAAAATTGTATTTTTAAAAGCGATTGTTGCAGCTATTGATTGTGATATATACGTTTTTGCCTCTTCTCCTTGTAGCGCATAGTTATGTGGTAAACAGAGGTAGTCAATGTCAAGGTTTGTAAGTTTCTCTAAACTTTTTAGATACGTTGTATAACTCTGAAGAAATTCAGGCATAATGTTGCCTGTTCTATCTGGTATGCCTGTAGCTTCACCTGGAATAAGTGCTTTAGCTTCGGGGATATAGAAACTAATAGAGTCACGTGTATGGCCAGGTGTGTAGATCACCTGAATACTAATGCCACCAAGGTCTAGTATCTCTTGATCTTTTAGAAATAGGTCTACGGGAAATGTTTCAAATAGGATAATATTCTTTTTGAGTTCTGGTGTGACGTTATTTAGGAATGTGTCATTTAGGGTTCGAATTAATTGGATAGCATTTGGGCGTTGAATAATATCGGCTAAAATAGGGTGGGCACCAATAGATAGTTGAGGATATCTTTGTTTTAACAATGGCGTGCAGCCAAGATGGTCGTAATGGGAATGTGTTAATAGGTGGAGGTCTAGCTGATTTGTTGGCTCAAGGTAATCTTGTAGTGTTTGAGATATCAGTGATCCCATAATAGTAAAACCAGAATCAACTAAACAAGAACGTTCGCCTCTAATGAAGTATAAGAGAAGACCTGGATGGCCAATTAAGTAAAGGTTTTTCGTCAGTTTTCCTGGTGCGGTTATACGCATAAGCTATTTATTGTTTACGGCGTCCAAAGACAGTGAGATTAATATAACGTTGAGGGTTTTCTTTGAGATCCTTTAGAAGTTCGACAACGCTGTCATGTAGATCTTCTTCTAAGAAAAGTTTACCGATGGATCCTTGGCCTGTTACTGTTTTTGAGAATAATATGTCTAATGCGTTTGATGTTTCTAGCAAATTTTTATATATATCCTCTGATGCAAGCAGTTTTCCAAGTGTGCCTTGTCCTTGGTTTAGGTTGTTGATAAGTGTTTCTATCTGTGTGTGTATATTGTCTTCTTGAATAAGTTTACCTAATGTACCTCTAGCAGTTGCTATGTCTTTTAGAACAATATTGAGATTTTTTAATGTTTTTACTGCTTCGTTATGTAATGTGTCTTGGCGGACCAGTTTTCCTAATGTTCCTTCTCCGGCAGCCAAGTCTTTAATAACGTTTTCAATACGTCCTAAAGAGGTTTGTAATGAGGTAATAATACCACTTGTTTTTTCAATGACATCTCCTAATTCTAAAGGGGGTGATGTCTGAATGGGATCTCCGTTGTTTAAAATGTTTGCTTCAGGAGAGCCCATTGTAATATTAACGATTTTATTGCCTAGAAGTCCTTTGGTTGTTAATAATGCTTTTGAATCAGAGCGGATAAAATCTTGGTAAGCAGTTCTGATTGCTAGAATAACGCGAATTTTTCCTTCTGTTTTTGTTGAGAGCTGAAGTTCTTCAACAAGCCCGACATCTACACCATTTAGCCAAACCGGTTGGCCAGTATTGAGACCTTGTACGTTTGTGAAGTCTGCGATAAGACGATAAGACGATGTAAAAAAACCTGTTTTACGACCTACTGTTAAGAGAGAAAGTGTTAATATGGCAATTGCGATTGTTGCAAAAATACCACTGCGTATTAAACGTTTTTGTTCAGAATGATTCATGTTGTCTCCAAGGAGCGAAAGTCGACAATATAAGGGTCTTTACTTTGACGAAAAGCTTGAGTAGTGCCATCAAAAAAAATGCTTCCGTCACGAATTAAGATAACACGGTCTGCTATATAATAGGCATAGTGAAGCTCATGTGTCACCACGAGTGATGTTGTGCCTAATTCTTCTTTTATACGTTTGATGACGGTTAAGACTTTTCGTGCTGTAATAGGGTCTAAACCGGTTGTTGGTTCATCGTATAGCATGATCGTTGGATTTCCTACCATTGCTCGCGCGATGGCAACACGTTTTTTTTGGCCACCACTTAATTCTCCAGGAAAACGATTTCGGTACTCAGGTAGATCTACAAAAGAGAGTTTTTCTTGAACTTCATGTTCAATAATATTGTGGTCGATATTTGGTGTTCTAGTTAGACGAAAACCAACATTTGCTTCAACGGTTTCACTATCAAATAGAGCACCATGTTGGAAGACCATGCCAATATCTTTTCTAATAGGATAGAGCGCTCGTTCTTTTCGTCCATCAATACGCTCACCGAGAACGTGAATGCTGCCTTTTAAAGGTTGTATTAAACCTAAAATAAGAGCTAAAAGTGTACTTTTTCCTGAGCCGCTTTCGCCGAGAATGATGAGTGTTTCCGATTTATAGATATCTAAGTTTATGTCATTAAGAATCAATGGTCCACCAAAACCGACATCGACCTGACGAAGCGATATTTGTGTTTCTTGTTCCATAATTTAAATATTGCCTAGTTGTTAATTAAAAATGAATAATAGTTTTGTGACAAGAAAATCAGTGAAGAGTACAAAGATACTAGATAAAACGACAGCTTTGGTTGTTACTCGACCAACAGCTTCACTACCGCCACGTGCGCTTAAACCGACAGCACAGCTGATACTGCCGATAGTTATAGCAAAGACGAAACTTTTTAATAGTCCTCCTAAGATATCTACAAGATAAAGACTTTCTTGAATTGTTCTTGCGTAGTATAGTAGAGAAAAATCTAAGGCATAGTAACAAACCAGAAAACCACCAAATAAGCCGACAGCGTTGGCATAAATTGTTAATAATGGTAATGTTGTCATCAAAGCTAGCATGCGTGGCATTACAAGATATTGTCTAGGATCTGTACCAAGCGCTCGTAAGGCTGAAATTTGTTCTGTGACAACCATTGTCCCTAATTCGCTTGCATAACCTGCGCCAACACGCCCGGCTACCATTAATGCTGCTAAGACTGGTCCAAGTTCCTTTAGCAAACTTGTCGTAATGGCATTGCCTATCAGTGATTTAGCACCAAACTTTTCTAAGGTTAAGGCACCTTGTAGGGCTAAAACCATACCGCTAAACAGACCTGTTAAAAAGATGATGCTGAAGCTGCGAACACCAGCTGTTTCTATTTGTTTGGCAATTTGGCGCCAGGGCAGTGGACGTTCTAGCAGGGCACGCATTGCACCTGCAACCATATGAATAGTTTGGCCAATAAAAAGAAAAGTCTGTTTCATAATTATTCTGAGGTCAGGCTACTTGATTAAACAACCCTATGCAAAATTTAAGATTCAGCGTTCTTAATGAAGAGCGATTGTTATTTTTAGCTGTTGGTATATATGTCTTTATGATTACGAGTGCTTATTTTATAATGCCAGATAAAATATCAGCAATTTCTAACATACCTGTATTCAGTTTTGGTTCTTGTTGATTGATATTTGTTAAGGGGGTTGCTGTTTCGACTCCCTGGGTTAAACCAACGACATAGCTTAGTTGAGATTCTTTTAACGTTTGGATGGCATAAACACCTAAACGTGAAGCCAATAGACGGTCGCTAGCTGTTGGCGAACCTCCACGTTGTATATGGCCTAGAATTACAACACGAACTTTTAGATCATGACGGGCACTCTGTGTGACCTGTGTCGCTAGGTTGGTTGCACCTCCTGTTTCGTTACCTTCTGCAACAACGATAATGGCAACTTTTTTGCCAACATCAAAACCGGTATCTATTAGGTCGGTTAAATGTTGTACGTCTGTGTGTCTTTCTGGAACAATAACAGCCTCTGCTCCACTAGCTAAGCCGATTGCCGCTGCAAGCTGACCGCTTTGGCGTCCCATTACTTCAACAAAGAAAACCCGAGCCAGGCTAAATGCTGTGTCGCGGATTCGGTCAATGGCATCTAATGCTGTATTTACAGCTGTATCAAAGCCGATGGAAAAGTCGGTACCACCAACATCGTTATCAATAGATGCTGGAATACCAACGATACGTAACCCTGTTTCGTGATGCAATGCTGCTGCACCACGATAAGAACCATTGCCTCCAATGACAATAAGTGTATTAATATTCTGTTTTTTTAAAATAGCTGCTGCTTCTTGACGTCCTTCTGGAGTAAGAAACTGTTGGCAACGCCCAGTTCCTAAGAAGGTACCACCTTGTTGGAGTATATTTGATACAGATCTTGTTGTTAAGGGCTGAAATTCTTGATCGAAAATGCCATTGTATCCGTTACGAATGCCTGTAATTTGATAGCCAGCATATGACGCTGTACGAACAACAGCTCTGATGGCAGCGTTCATGCCTGGCGCATCTCCTCCACTTGTTAAGACACCAATAGTTATAGGATCATTTTGCGTCATTGTGCTACTTCTCCTCTTAGTAGCATACCAAATTTTTTGCCAAAGTTTTATTGACATGCTCTTTTAAAGTTGTTATTGTCACTTTATTAAAGTACCTATGGTACTTTAATAAAGTGTGGGGTTTTGTGGTTTTCTAAGGGAGATAATAATGCGTTTAGGTTTTAGATATGCTGTGGTTATAGTTCTAGGGATTAGTGTTTATAGTTGTGGTGGGCTGATTAGAAAACTTAGCACAGAGAATATAATAGCAACTGAGAGTGTCAATTCTAGGGCTCAGTTTTGGATGGATGAGCTAAATGATGTTATTGGTGATCGTCCATTTAACCAGATTTTCTTTTTTGGTAGCCATGATGCGGGCACTTATGATGTTGTCGAGCCGGTAATCGATCTTTTTGCAAGAACTCAAATAGCTACTGTTGGCTTGCAGCTTAAATATGGTAGTCGCTATTTAGACATTCGTATTCGTCGCCGTGATGGCCAATTTTTTGTCTTGCATGGCATTGCTACTTCTAATCATCCTGTCCAAATGGATTGGGACCAACTCAATGCATTTTTACAAGATACAAAGTCACGTAAAGAGGTTATTGTTTTACATTTGAGACAGTTTGACTTCGATGGCACTACGCGATCATCAACAGATACAACTGATATCCCCGCACAAACCTTACAAGATATCTACGAATATCAAAATAATTTAGCAAATAGTATTTTTTCTGGTTCAGCAATTCGTAAGCAAAATATTGAGCTAGATAGTCATGGCCGTATTGCTCGTCCAACTGTTAATGATTTGATAGATGGCGAGCGACAAAACCCTATTGAAGGTGGCTCTCTTATTATTCTGTCACCATTAGCACCACCAGATAATGATTATATTTGGTCGACAGCTGAGTTCTATTTTGATTATCAGCAAAATTTTGTTAATCCAGATGGGTCTAGAAAACCGTGGGTCAATCAAGTTTTTCAACTTAATTCAGCGGTTAAACAAATTACCGCGGTAACTCAGCGGATTGTTAATATTGTTGAATACAATACAACACCGTCGTTCCAGTTTATCGCTGCGGCTGAAACACAACGGCCTCAAGGGTTACCAAAAACAGTTCTTGAGACTGCCTTACGTTCTAATCAGCAGCTTCCTGGATTTTTATATCAAGTTTATACAGATGCAGGAGCTAAGTTTCTGGAGATTAATAGTAGTTTTAACTTTATGACGTTGGATAATGTTGGGAGTAACCCTATTTTGCCAGAATTATTGATCGCTATTAACCGTCAGCAGCCAGTACAAGAGTGGCCAGTTTGGTCTTGTATTCAATTTACAGGGGATGTTCTTGATATTCCTTTATTACAACAATCTGAGCAAGGTCAAGTTCGTATTGTTTTAGGAACTGAAACCATAGATGTCGCACCGCGTACAAATGCTTGTTTTACGCCCAATAATTATAAAGCATCAGATTTCAGTTCTCAGACTGCATTTCAGGCGTATCAACAATTTAATCAACGAGATGATCGTCTAGATTTATCTTTACGTATAGAGGTTCGTGCAAATGGTTCGAATTGGCAAGCAATTCCATTTGTTGAAGATCAAGAAGGGAAGCGGACAATTACTCAAACAAGCTTGCGAGAGTTTTTGTATCCAGGTGGTTTGGCTATGAGTCGTAATGCCTATATACGTGTGGGAACGTCATCAGGTGACCATAAAGGTATTGGTTGGTTGTCGTATAATGCTAGTGATTGTTTGTCAACAACACGTGGACAATTACCAACGGATCCCTCTTGTATTTATACAGACTTTACTCTGCCTTAGAAGCCTTTTCTGCTTTTTATGACAAAGGCACTAGTAAGTAGATTTCTGGCGTCTTTGTCATAAAAGCGATATTTAGTTAATTTTAGTTTTAATGATGTGTTTTATCGGTCGGTTAATTTTTGTACATGACTAAATGCTAGGCGACCAGGATATACAGCATCATTTCCTAAGGCTTCTTCAATACGTAGAAGTTGATTATATTTTGCGAGGCGGTCACTACGGCTGGTACTGCCCGTTTTGATTTGAGACGCATTTGTGGCGACAGCCAAATCTGCAATAAATGTATCTTCTGTTTCGCCACTACGGTGACTAATAACATTGCCATAGGCTGCATTTTTAGCAAGTTCAATGGTGTCTAATGTTTCAGAGAGACTACCAACCTGATTCACCTTGACGAGGATGGCGTTTGCGACTTGGGCATCAATACCTTGTTTTAGGCGGTTGACTTGAGTTACAAATAGATCATCACCAACTAGCTGACATTTATCTCCAATAGTATTCGTTAACGTTTGCCAACCTTCCCAATCATTTTCGTCCATTCCGTCTTCAATACTGATAATAGGATACTGTTCGACAAGCTTTTGATAATAGGCGACCATTGCTTTTGTGTCTAAGGTAGCTCCTTCTCCTTTAAGCTCGTAACATTTCGTATCACGGTTGAAGAATTCGCTAGATGCTGCATCTAGTGCTATCGTAATGTCTTTTTCTGGTTGATAGCCTGCTTGTTCTGTTGCCGTTAGAATGAGTTCAATTGCTTCTTGATTATTATTGAGATTTGGGGCGAAACCACCTTCGTCTCCAACACTGGTAGCAAGACCTCGTGTTTTAAGTATTGTTTTAAGATGGTGAAAAATTTCAGTCGCAGCCTGTAGGGCTTCTTTAAATGTAGATAACCCCCAAGGAATAATCATAAATTCTTGAATATCAAGGTTGTTATCTGCATGTTGACCGCCATTAATAATATTTAGCATTGGGACTGGCATGATATGACTATTGGTACCGCCGATATAACGCCATAAAGGAAGACCAACCGTTTGTGATGCTGCTCTTGCTGCTGCAAGGCTAACACCTAAAATTGCATTTGCACCCAGTTGGCTTTTATTAGGTGTTTTATCTAGGTCTAGCATTAACTGGTCTAAGTGGCGTTGTTCGGTGACATCGTAGCCAATTAGTTCCGGTGCAATTTTGTCTGTAATGGTAGCAACGGCTTGCTGGACGCCTTTGCCTAGATATCGGTTGTCACCATCACGGCGTTCAACTGCTTCGTATTCTCCCGTGCTTGCGCCACTAGGTACTGCTGCACGTCCTTGTATACCATTATCTAAATAAACTTCTGCTTCAACGGTTGGGTTGCCACGACTGTCTAAAATTTCACGTGCATGAACGTTTACGATAATGCTCATGTTTTGCCTCCTGGATGAATGGCTTTAAATGGAACTATTCAGAACTCTAAGGTTCATAATAGTTTGGTCAATAATATTGGAGCTGAGGGGGATCGAACCCCTGACCCCAACGCTGCCAGCGTTGTGCTCTCCCAGCTGAGCTACAGCCCCAACTAAATATATGATGATGTTTACTTCTTGAGAGAAAGATATTATCTCGAAAGTCTATTTGTGCGTCAACAAGCTAAGTTGAATGTAGATTTTTAAAAGTTGCTAGGCGTTCATCTGAAAGCATAGTAAATGTGATGGTAGCTTTTTTGACTTTTTAGATTATGGTTAAGGTGTAATGGTTAGAACACGTGTAGCTGCGCCAGCATAACCAATGTCAAAAAATGTATGGGTAAAAATATTGAATGGATCTCCTAAGTTGCTGACTCCTAGTAGCGACCAAGTATAGGTGCCTGGTGGTAATAGATCTTTGGGTAGTGTAAATGATGTTTGGTTTTTTGGGAATCGTATTGCGAGACTAGGCGAAGTCGTTGTACTTAGATCTGTTGCATAAAATGCTAATAGTAGAGCACCTAAAGCCGACGTGTCAATAATTTGCCATACAAAGGTAGTTGGCATTGATGTTGTTGTTCCAGCTTGTGGTGAAGTTAGGTCTGGAATTGAGTCAGTAGGTAAAATTTCAAACAGACGTGTACCGTAGCGTTCTCCGCTTTGAGTGTCTTTAAATGTACCCACAAGAAGACCAGTAGAATCGGCTTTAGTCTGTATAGGTGTCTCTAGACTTACTTTTAGTGTTCTTGTCTCAAGGAATAAGTATGGATCTGTGATGTTACTAAAGAGTGTTGCAACCGAATTAAGTCGACCTTCATTGGGCACCGATGGATTATTATCTAATGCATAATCAGAAAATTCCAGATTTAGTTCTGATATATTGCTTGTGATGCCTGTTGTCTGTAGCGATGAGTCAACAGTGGTTGCGCCGTCTATTTTATTTAATATAGCACCTGTTCCGATTGGAATTCCAGATTTTGTTGTTGCATTTTGATTGACGGTAAACGTTTTGGTGTACTGGTGTGTTTGGCCAGATCGCTCTAAGGTTCCTGTAAATAGTAACTCTAAACCTTGAGGTAAGGGGTCCATATAAGTTAATGTTTCGAATTGAAATATAGCTGGTGTATGTAGCGACGGAATGAGATCTTTTGTTTGTTTGAAAAAAGGTACATTGATCGTTGTATCTTTGATTTTTAGGGACCAAGAAATTAAATCATAATTACCAGGATCTACGACAAGTGAGAAAGCGGGTTTGCCTGGGTACGTAGAAATAAATTCTTTTTCTGTAATATTTGTCTCGAGCCAACGTGGTGCTGTTGTCGATGGAGATTGGTAGGAAACTGTGTAACTAAAGCTTGTTTGTAAGGGGTTACCCCAAATATCAACAAGTTTGCTCGCATCGCCATTGTAGCGAATTAGGTCATTTGTTTGTAAATCGATATATGGTGTTATACGTATTGTGTAACCTAAGCCAGAAGCGACGTAATCTACGTGTAACGTGACAGGGTCTATAGTAGATCCTGGACGTGTTCTTATTGCTGTAACGCCGTTTGTAAAAGAGGTGACAGCTGGAATTGAGTTAAATGATAGCAGTAATTGTGTGTTGTTTTCTGTTGCTGTTGGTACGGTGCCACTTGTTTCAAGAGAAAAATTTAATGGCGTGGTCGTTGTGCTGGGGTCTAAAAAGATACCAAGGTAGTCCTGAGCAACAAATTGTTGCTCAGGTCCTTTGGCTTCTAGCCAAAGAGCAGTTACGTGCTTTGGGATTAAATTATTTAAAGAAAACTGGACCCTGAATAGAGCTTCTTGTGTGTCCATATTTAGGAGTTCAGCTTGTGTAGCAGTCATTTGTTGTATATCAGTTGCCGTTGTTCCAAATTTAGCTGTGAAGGTTAACGTATTTGGATCAGAAGGAGCTGGAGATAATGTTGTATATATAGTTATTGTTTGCGTTGTGGATGTTATTCTGAGTGTCGTACTTGAGACAGTTGCTGTTCCTAATGAGATGGTCTGTTCAGTGTTTTGTTCAGTTTTGAAACGGATGGTTGTTGATAAACCTTGGTGAAAATTTTGTAGGGATTTATCTTCTGTCGAAGTTAAACTACCTAAGTTGAGTTCAGTTATACGATTGGGGTCTAGTTGAGTAACCGGAAAGATCGAGACATTTTGGGCATTTTGCCAATGTAAAAAAACATCAATAGATGAAGATCCAGTAATGTCTGGGTATGTGATGGCTCGAGTAATATAGGTCACACTAGTATTCATATTTTGATCAAACATAATGTCAAACCTTGGCAAGAGTGAAGCTTGTGTTTGCGTTTGTGGTGTATAAATACTAGTTATCGTTGGCGATGTGCTATCTATCATGTAGATTGCTTGGGCCTGTACGGCTTGTCCTGTCTCTATGGTAGCTAAAACGTCAACAACCCAGGTGCCATCTTGTGTAAGTTCAATACTTCTTGTGGTGCTTCTAAAGTTACCAGTAGGTTCTCCTTGACGAAAAATACGTGCAACGAGAGTAGCTTCTGTATCAGTAGCAATGGTTACGGTTAAGGGAGGGCGGAAGCGACCGTTTTGTGGGAACATCGTCATTGTTAATGTTGCTTGAGGGATAATTGTAATATGTAAGGATTTCCAAATATCAGTACAGGGGTCGTAGACAATAACCTGATTACTTGTTGCTTCTAAAGGAAAGGGGCCAGTGTAATTGATGGGTGTTTGTTCTGGTGCTGTTACAGTTGTTATTGTGCTTGTCGTGGTTGTTTGGGAGGTTTCTTCGCTTGTAATATGTACAAACTTTACGTCATCAGCATAGGTCGAAGTAATCTCTAGTGTTACTGGTTGTTGATATACTCCAGGTTGTAGCGAAAAAGCGAACTCACAATCCTGCAGTCGTGTTTCTGTTTTTGTTGATGTTGTCGTATTACAGGCAGCTAGAAGATATACGAAACTAAATAGTTTGAATAAAGAGTATTGTTTAAAGTGCCTCGTAATGATGTTGTGTCTAAGCATATCTATGGCGTCGGACAGTCTGTCGTCTGTAATTTGAATGACTGAAGCGTTACATCATTTGGATAATTAAATTGGCCATCTGGTCCAGGGGCAACTATGTCAAAGCGGTCTAGTTCTTGGGCGTTGTTATAAAAAAAGATAGTCCCAACGACAGGTATACTTAAGGGGGCGCTATAGGTTTCGATCCTGTTCAATTGACCTGAAACGCTATAGGAATAATATTCTGTTGAAGCGGAGATGTCGTCACTGGAACCATAAACCATATCTTGGCCAGGGTTTGTGTATCTTGCCGTTTTTGTTAGTTGTGTGGTGTTATAAGCATAGGTTGTATAAGTAGCATAATCATCTTCTGTCAACCATTCTAAGTCATCACCTGGCAGTGTATAACGTGTAAAATTTGTTATTAAACTTGCTGTAGTTTGGTAGGTAAAATGACTTGTGAGCTCATCATCGTTTGTTCCCCAAATACGATCAAAGCCTGGATGTCCAAATGTGATACCAGTTGTTTCTCCTGATTGAGCTGGAAAGAGTCGTTCCCGTATAGCTCTATCTGAATGTAGGCGGATGCAGGTTGTATCTGTCAATTGGGTTGTGTAACGTTCTATATAGCCAACACCATCATCTAAAATATCACGCCTATCGATTATATTTGCTGCGATATCATCAGCTGTACGCCAGGTGTTATCTGAACCAGGGCTTAAGTAGACAATGCTAACTCCTATATGCCCTTCGTTGTTTGGTGGTTGTATGTTTAAGGTTGTATTTGTACTGATGGCAATTATTTGCCGAGCTGCGGTGACTTCATCTCCTGAATGCCAGATGCTATCTGAACCTGGATTGTCATACATGTCAAAGTCAAAACACTGTAGAGATAGTTCTGTGACAAAGAAATCTGTAGCTGATAAACAGGTTTCAGAAGGTGTTGTGGTTGGTGGTGGCGTAGTTGGTGTTACTGGTGTAACCCATTCAGGTTGTGATGGTAGTTCTAGTAATGGGTTATTAAACGTAATAGGTGTACTTGCGATGCTAAGGGTATGATTGGGAAATAATGCGTAAACGTTGTATGTAACCTGTTGTAAGGAAAAGACCTCTTCTGTAAAAGAGTTCTCTTTAGTCTCAAACCAATAAATAACTCTTCCTTGGCTATCATAAGAAATCCGATTTGGTGTTTTTGTTGTTCGTATACCTCTAAATTTAGTTTTTGCGCTAGGACTTGTCTTTGCTGCGGTGCGTGTAATATTGTAGCCAATAATACTAGTTGCTGGATGGGGTTGCCAGGTTAATGTGATTTGCTGTGAGTTTGTATCGTAGGTGATGTTGATGTCTGAAACGGCCTGAGACCTTGCCTCTTCATAAGGATGAACTGCCTGTCGTTTATCAACAAACGTTGTTGTTGATAGTTCTTCTGAACAACTGGAAGTTAGCAGAAGGAGTATCAAGACGGAAAAGAGTTGTGAAGATTGTTTTTGTAAGATAAATATCCCCATTAAATTTAAAAATAAAAAAACAATATTTCTAAAAAGACATGATAAAGAAACAGACTTCATTTATCAACTATTAATGCAGCTTAAGTCTTGAGAAATGAGATAATAAAGATCGAATATCTAATGCTTACCTTGTTTTGCATAGATTTTTATTAGAGGTTTTATGCTGTGAGGTTCCTTTGATGAATATCTTACTTGTTCATGCGCCACGGTTTCATATCGTTGGTTTTCCCGGACCTAAACAAATTTATAGCTCGACAAGTTATCCACCACTAGGATTACTCTATATCGCAGCTTATTTACAAAAAGAACGTCCACAGTACGATGTTTCTTTTTTTGATTATATGCCCGATAAAGTTTCTTATGAGGCGATTGTACCAACATTGCAAAAATTGCAACCAGATGTTGTTGGATTAACAGCATATACTTATGTGCTGTATGACATTTATGCCGTATGTCGTTTAGTTAAACAATATGTACCGAAGTGTAAAATTGTTTTGGGTGGTCCTCATAACGATATTTATCCCCATGAGACTATACAACAGGATTTTGTTGATTATTTGGTAAAAGGTGAGGGTGAACAAACTTTTGCTCAACTGTTAGATCATCTAACAGGTACACGTCAACTCAAAGATACGCCAGGTATTTATTTTCAAGCTCCAGAAGGTAATATTGTATTTACTGGTGAGCGGACACCGATCCAGGATATTAACGCATTGCCAATACCTGCCAGAGACTTAGCGGGGCTCAATCAATACTATTCTATTATTAATCCTGGGTATCGCGAAACGACAATCATTTCTAGTCGAGGTTGTCCTTTTCGTTGTAATTTTTGTGACGTTGGTGGGCGAAAATATCGCTATCGTTGTGCTAAGTCTGTTGCCCAAGAAATGCGACAATGTGAGGAGACAGGATTTGAATTTGTCCAATTTATGGATGATACCTTTAACCTTTTTCCCAAAAAAGTCAAAGCACTATGCCACGAGATTATTGCACAAAAAATTACTATTCCTTGGTGCTTTCGTGGGCGTGTTGATCAAGTCGATGAAGAAATGTTTGACCTTCTCAAGCGGGCGAATTGTAAGCGTATCTTTTTTGGTGTTGAATCTGGATCTGATGAAATGTTGGCCTATATTGGCAAGCGTATTACACGGGCGCAGACTGAACGTGCCTTTATCTTGGCTAAGCAGGCAGGTATTGAGACGGTTGGTTATTTTATGTTGGGGTTTGTAAAGGAAACGCGTGAACAAATGCTAGAGACTATTGCCTTTGCAAAAAAGATACAGGCAGATTATGTGCATGTGACAATTACAATTCCGTTGCCTGGCACACCACTTTGGGATGAAGTTTGCCTGGATCCTAATTTTCCCAAAGATTACTTACGAGACTATACACATGATCCTGTAAAGAATTTTGAGCTTCTACCTTGGAGCCAAACCCACAGCTATGAAGAATTGTATGCGTTAAACAAAAAATTCTATCGTGAATTCTATTTTCGACCATCGTATCTTTGGAGACGATTGAAACAAGTACGGTCATTAAAAGAGTTATGGCGTAAATTGAGAGCGGCTTGGAACTTAATGTTGTTTCAGTTTGATCGTTTGGTTCAGAAGTCTGCCTAATATAGACTCTGCTATAGTTTTGAACGTTGTGCCCTTAATCTTATAAATATCAATTCAGCAGTCGTAAAACTAATGAGTAAATAACACCAGATACTAAGGCTAATTCGCTGGGATAGGGTCCCTAAGTTTTGATAACCTGGTAGAAAGATGACGATTCTGAAAATAATAAATGTCCAGGTTGTTATATAGCTACGGATCATCCATTCTTGATGTTTGTTAATCGCTTTTTGGCGTATTGTTAAATATCCCATTAGTGTTGTAAATCCCCAAATACAATCTGTTGTAATCAGTGTAATGGCGACAGAAAATCCATATTTTGTATATACCGCAAGAAGCAGTGCTGGTAGAAACGAGAGTGCAACACCTAAAAGGTATATATAGCCAATATATCGATGTGATTTATGGTTACGTTTTGCCAGAATTAATTGGATTGGCCCCAGTAGTAGCGGTAATGTCCCTGCGGATGTATGCAGAAGTAACCAGTAGCGTAGCGGCCAATGATAGGTATAGGCTTGTGGAGTTAAATTAAAAAATGGTAGTGCAAAGTGAACAAATATCCATAGCGAGATTAAAAATATCACAGCTGAAAGATAAAATATGAGTGAAGCGTTTTGCATTATTTTAATATTGATATAGAAATATAGGATCTATTATTTAGCATACAAGATGAATGTTTATCGCCATAGAAGTATATCTCTTAGAATCAAGAAATTGTTGTATGTCTAATAGTTGTTGATACGTGTTTATAGAGTGATGACAAAAATGATTGTTTCTTGACCTGAAGTAATTTGTTCTAGATATGGAGATGCTTTTAGGTTATTTAATAATGCTTTTTCGTTACGTAGTAGCATTTGTTGATGAAACACAATATGCGTAATACCTAATTTTGTGAGTTTTTGTAAGGCGCTATGGCTAGGTAAATTATCGATAGCTTTTTGTGCTTGAATACGTGCTTTAGAAAGATAGCTGTTAACACCATTTATCGTATTCCCATGGTGTTGTGTTTGCCATAGTACATAAATAATTTCACGATTAAATTCATACAGAGTTTGATCCGCATGTTTAAAACGAAGTCCTAATTTGCTGGGATAGTCTAATACAACTGCTTCCGGATATTGTTGCCAAAAATTTAGGTAGCTATCTGTTGCTTGTAGGTAAGGCTTTGCATCATAGGCCGGTAAAGGTATAGGGACATTTTCTATCAGGTGTATTGCCATAGCGACAGTACAAATGAGTAGTTGGATAAGTTTTGTACGCCCTATTGCTAAGGTGATGTGTTTAAGCGCTTGTGCTGCTAGGATGACTTCTGCAATAAGTGTAATAAAATATGCTCGTGATGGTACGCGTAGGTAATCAAAAAGTGGTATCCAGTCGTACAGTAATAATAAAGGAGAGGTGAACTCAAGTGTACCTAAGCTTGGTGTTGGCCCAAGTGCAAAAAATAAGCCAAGTAAGGCAACGAGTGTCAGTTCTAAGCGCTGGCGAGACCAGAACAAACCTAGTAAAGCAAGTAGATGTAAACCATAACCAACAAAAGCGTGGCGACGGATGAGAACCCAAAAATTTGTATCATCTGCTGTTATGGCATTGGTATAGAGTAGGTTGCCTGGTAGGATACGCTTAAAATCTTCTAAGACTAGGCTGCAACTTTGAATAACGCCAGCGGTGGACCATGGATTGACAGGGTTAATATAGAGATGACGATAGATAAAGATTAGCAAGTGGGGGGTACTCACTAAACCATAAGCAGCAATACCCCAGAGAAGTTGTTTTGTTTGAAATAGATGTGTTTGTCTGCACCGCTCTACTAAAATAAGTAATGCTAAGAGACAAGTCTGAAAAACAAAGACGTAGATAGAAACATATATTTCTATGCCGCCAATAAACGCTGCAGTTAAGAGCGTACGTAATCGAGGGTTACGAAAATAATGTCGTAAATAGTACCAACTTAGTGCTGGCAAAAAATAGCAGGTTATAACGCTGTCATCAAGGTTTGCTAGTAGGAAATTGTTGCAACTAAAGGCAAGTCCTGCAAATAGAGCTCCATAGACATGATGTGTGTAGTCATAGGCTAATTTATAAATAGCAAATCCGGATAAACTACAGATTGTTACAAGAAAGGCGTATAGTGTCCAGATATCATTTTTAATCAAGAATTTCAATATTAAAAACAGTAAGCCTCCAACTGGTGATGCTTCACCATAGGCTAAAAAATTTTTGGCGGGATACATTGCAGTGCCGTATTGAATATCGGTGAACCAGGCTTGCAATGTCTGTGAGTATGTATTACCAATTGCCATTGCAACCCAAGAGCTTAAATTACCAGGTAGGTTGCCCTGTAACGGCCACTGAACAAACAGTAAAGCAAAAAATAGGCAGTAAAAGCTAAGGGCTTTTTTATCGGAAGGTGTTGACATCTGTACTATTCTACTTTTTCCAAGAAGCATTGTTAAACGATAGAAGATGTCGGTAGTCTGACGGCATGTCAAGTTTCAGGATCGTTTTTAAAAAATGTATTCAAAAGATGTCTGTATTTATGAGTAGTCATTGTTTGTTTTTTCGTATCAATTTACGCTCGTTAGGTTTTTTTTGTGCGAAAATATAGATGCCATAGTGTTCGTATTGATCCTAGCGGTTGTTCTTATTACAAGGTAAGTTTCGTATTATTGTTTCAGATCTAACAAACAAATATTCGCTACATCAGTTTTTACAAGCATTGCGCTATAAAGAAGTAGTACTGATGACAGGTTTTTCTGTTTGTGGTGCTTTTTGGCAGTCTTTTACTCTGACTTCGGAATTTTTGTTCCAGTTATGTCTTATTTATCTAGGAGTCCTGTTACTTTTTCTTGCTATTTATGCAGCTAATAGTTTTTTAGGTTACCAAGCAGATTTAAATAATAATCGTTTACAGGCACAGCAATATTTATCCAGAAAGGCATTTTTATATATTGCTTTGTGTTGTCTCCTGTTAGCAAGTGTTTTTTTTAGTTTCTTCAATGCCAAAATAGTATTTCTTGGGTTAGTTATATTTGTCTTGTGGTTGTTATACGGTTTGCCAACCTATGGTTTAAAATCTTTGCCAGGTTTGGGAAGCTTATTTCATTTTATGATGGGTTATGCTCATTTTCATTTGTGTAGTTTGCCTTTTCAACCGCTAACTTATCAGAGCCTTAGTGTTGCTACCTACTTTGCACTTCTATTTGCAGGTGGTCATGTTTTTCATGAAATTATTGATTATAAGGTTGATAAACAAGAACAAGTTTCTACTGGGGCAGTTGTTTGGGGCCTTCCATATTCGATAAAAGTTGCCAAAATTATTTTTACACTGGCAGCTATTTGGTGTCTTGGCTTAATGTTTAATAATTTATTTAAACAACTTGTCGCTGCAAGTTTTTTTCTTGCTTATATTTTTCAGCTTGTTGTTATACGTATGTATCAAGGTCATTTAGAAAATGCTATGGTGCATTGTCGTGTTCAGGCTATGTATCGCATTGCCTATTTGGGCGCGGGGTTTGTCTTTATTATTTCGCAAACCATTTTAAACTAACGTCATAGACAACTTTTTTGGCGTTGTTAGATGACATTGCCGATACTATATTATTTGTTTAACCTTTATGGATGCCGACACAGAGGACAAAGTAGCCATTAGTTGTATGATTTACATTTACATGATTTCGGTCAACATGTATTTTTCTTTGAAAATTTTGTGTAAATGAAATTGTTGTAGCTAGTTCCTCCAGATAAATTGAGCTAATATCACGGGCCCAATATGTTTTTTTTGCGCTATTAGGGAACAATCGTTTTACTGTTGTTGGGGCTGTCGGTAGCATTTTGTTAAAGTAGACTGTTCGTGGTAGGCGCCAGTTTGTATAAGAATCTAAATTTAGGTTTTTGCAATAACTTTTCGCTTCATACCAATTATAGCGTTTATTGTTATCAAAACGTTGCCATAGATAATTTGTAGTGAGGTCTAAAATAATATTCTCAGTTAGATTAATATAACGTGTTTGACTAGAGAGTTTTTGTGCTTGTAGTGTTTGATGAAAAGAAACAATTAGTGAAGTAACTAACAATATTTTTATAAAGAAATGTCGTATTATCATTGAGAAAAAGTTATTGCTAATGTTTTGAGCATATGTGTCTACAAATCTTTTTTTGATACTGTTTTCTACAGTTATATTATATTAAGACTATTATATAAAGATACTCGCGTCTGACTAGTATACTGCACTAGTAAAAGAACATCGGAGTTTTTTTTGCAGCAAATACAACAAACGTTTACACGTAGAGCAACTTTGTTTGTTCTTTTGTTTTACACTAGTTTCTTTTTGTTGTTATTTTTACAATTCCCTTTACAGGGTGCATTGCCTGGCAATTGTGATTCTTGGTTTGCTGTTGCCTATAGTAACATTTTTCGTCTGAAGTTAGAAGAGCTTTTCTTTGGTATTCAGAGCGGTACAGCTATGTATCCGGTAACGACTGCTCTTTCTTATGGTGCTGCGCCTCCGGGGGGAGGGCTTTTCTTTCTATTTTTCCAATTATTAACTCCTAATGATGTTATTGCGTATTATTTATGGATTTCGACATTGTACATACTAAGTGCCTTTGGTATTTATTGTTTGGCACGTGAATATATTAAGAGTTTATTATGTGCTCTTTTCGTTGGTTTTAGTTTTGCGTGTAGTACATTTTTGTTTGCTAACATAGATGATTCGCTGGTTACCTTTTATTTTTTTCCGGCAATGAGCCTAGCCTATTTGAAACGGTACATTCGTACAAATGAAGCCAACAATATGTATAAAGCAGCATTGTTTGGTGGTCTGCAAATTTATTTTAATGTCTATGCATTCTTTTTCCAGAATGTTATGTTATCTATTGTGGTAGTCTGTGAATTTTTTCGTGTGCGATGGCAGCTACTTCGACGACCATTTTGGCTAGGTCTGTTAATGTATGCAGCCGTCTGTCTACCGTTTCTTCTGTTGCTTGTTTATCGTCATCAA